ATTTTCGCCGATCCAGCAGTCTAGACTGTTGAACCATGCTTCTCATTTGGTTCTGTTCTTTCCCATCCCCACAGACAACAAATCGAGCTGTGAGCGATATCCAATTGAAGAGAGAATCCCGACCGCTAGGGACCCTTGGGCAGCAAGAAGCCGAATCATGCACCACAATGGGGAAAGGGCACATATCCTGCCGTAGTGGGTAGACTTACCAGGAATGGTAGACCGTGTAATCCATACCCCAATCTCATAATCCGACCATGACCTATTCTTAGTAGATCTGTCACTCGCTATCCCGCCATTGATTCGAATAGATGATCTCGACACGCTGCTCACCACTCCGCGATCATGGCCATGGCAGATGGTCGATACGGAGACATTGATTCTATTTTCGACCCTCGCGATGGAGACAGTGGATAAAATTTCCCGCGTTTTCCCCGTCTTCCCAGTGTTGTAACTGGGATATGAAACACACAGACCCGGCGAAGTGTCATCGTGGTTGGTGAGCAAGGTTGGTTTGTTTCGAGGGAAAGAAATCAGCCAGTAGTAAGTTCAAGGGTCAGCCGTAGGGAAAAACGGTAAAGCCCCAGTCGAGTGTCGGCACCACCTTCCGACTACATCGGCGACTTTGAGAATTGTGAACTCTAAAGTGCTTCTTTCTTGCGTGCTAAGCTTCCATGTGGATAGTCTGGAGGGACTATTCCGTTAGACCCTCTTCTTTAGGAGATCATTATTGGTCTCGGGAATTTTAGGCTGCTTCAGTGGTCGCGGGTTCGCTGCTCGGGGTCTGCATGGGCCGTTCCTGGCAACGGACACCATTTCCGATTGAGGTTTAGCCTTTGTAGACTAGAGAGAGAGCGTAGAGAGCTCCCCAAAGTTGGGAAGTCGAGGACGAGCGAACGGTGGGGTTTCAGGGTGAGACGAGGCCAAAATAGGGTTTGGCTCGAAACAGCGGGTCCTCATTGGATGGGCTATTCTTAGCTCAGGGGAGATAGAAGAAAGGGGTGTGAAGTTGTGGATATCAAATAAATAACCGCAACCGAGTATACACAGAAGATGAATAAGGTCGAAGCTGTAGATGCGAGGTGAAGAAAGTGAATGAATAAACTTGGAGAGTTGAGTTGGTGTTCCTGCCGATCAGAAAAGACATAGGAAGCCTAGACGGGGTCAGTTCTGAGGATCATCCGCAACGCCCGGAAGAACCAGCCGATCCCCCCATCTTCGGGCAAACTCCAAACATGGGCTGCAGATCACTAGCGCAGGGGTCACGATCGTGCTACCACTCCACTGCTCTCCAGCCCGTCTTGCATCAATTCTTGCAGTCAAGCAATTTACGTTTATCCGGAGTTCACTACCGATGCTCAGGCATCAGTTGCGGCTCGTTTGGTGCTCTCGTTTACATACACCCTGGCTTGCACTTTGAACGTATCTAATAACTATGGACAACCTCACGCCATTGAGCCCTAATTCAGGTCATCAACAATGCTCAAGCATTGACTCTCTCGATCCCAGATCGAAAACCTCTTTTCATCTCGATCTCTGGGTCACCATTCTAGCGCGTTTCGACGCAGCGACACCGGCCAGTTCTGAGCCGGTCTCCCCTGCCCGATTCGGAGCTCAAATTCCCGGTTGGGAGCCGGCTCTGTGCCCATTTTGATCAATGCAGATGTTTTAGTCCCAGAAGAGCCCGTCGTCCCTGACCGTATCCACAGTCTACCAAGTCCGTGCCCGTCGGAAAACCCAGATGATGGTTCATTCTACGGTTCACTAAGATGCTTGGCAGGTCCGAACCAGGCCATGGACACTTTTCTTAGAAACTCTACACTGACACAAGCAGCCACTATCAAACCACCGCGGTTTCACGGGCCCCTATTCAAGGGGAGACAGCCATGGCTTTCCTCCGCGATGCGGGAGAAGAAGACGGGAACCTTTCTACGCGAAAAGGGATATATAGCCTCTGTCACCACCACCGATCAGGTTGACTTTCTTTCATCCCATCCTCATCCCTCTCACCAGTCTTTTCTCCTCTTTTTCCTCTCGCTCTTGTTTGATTTTCAGATCGCCTGTGGCGTATCGATCTCTGTGTTTACATTTTCAATAATTCCGTTCAACTCTCGTTCTTCTCGATTCCCGTTTCTCGAAGGTAACCTTCCCGCCACTTTCTGATCTTCGGCTACAATCATTCTTGGAACAGTACTGACCATAACAGAAACCGAGTTCAATCAGTCAAAATGGTTCGCTTCTACAGAGTCTCCGCTGCGACCCTCGTCACCGCCGCCACCGTCTCCGCCATCCCCATCCCATGCCTCCTTCCCTTCCTCAGCGGCGCTGGTAGCCTCCTGGGAAGCTCCGGCCTGGGTGCCAGTCTCGGTCTCGGTGGCAGTGCCAGCGGCAGCGGCAGCGCCGACTTGGGCGCCAGCCTTGGTGGTAGCGGCAGCGGTAGTGGAAGTGCTGGTGCTGGTCTCGGTGCTGACCTCGGCGCCGGTCTGAGCGGCAGCGCTGGTCTGGGTGCCCTTCTGGGCGGTGGTGCCGGTGCCAGTGCTACCGGTGCAGCGGGTGCTGGTGCTTCGGGAGCCGCCGGTCTTGGTGGCTCCGCTGGCCTGGGTGGATCTGCTGACCTGGGCGCTGACCTGGGCGCTGATCTGGGTGCCGGTCTTGGTCTGGGTGGAAGTGGCAGCGCTGGTGCTGGTCTTGGAGCCAGTGCTACTGGAGCTGCTGGTGCTGGTGCCTCGGGCTCTGCTGGCCTGGGCGCTGGTATTGGTGGATCTGCTGGCCTCGGTGGCTCTGCCGGTCTTGGTGGCAGCGCTGGTCTCGGCGCGGGTCTGGGAGGAAGTGCCACTGGTGCTGCTGGTGCCGGTGCTTCTGGCGCTGCTGGCCTCGGTGGCTCTGCTGGCCTGGGTGGCAGCGCCGGCCTTGGTGCTGGTCTTGGAGGAAGTGCTACTGGCTCCGCTGGCGCTGGTGCTTCCGGTGCTGCTGGTCTCGGCGGTTCCGCCGGTCTTGGTGGCTCCGCCGGTCTGGGCGCCGGTCTTGGAGGAAGTGCTACCGGTTCCCTCGGTGCCGGTGCTTCGGGTGCTGCTGGCCTCGGTGGTAGCGCTACCGGTGCTGCTGGTGCTGGTGCCTCCGGCGCTGCTGGCCTTGGTGCTGGTGCCGGTCTTGGAGGAAGTGCTACCGGATCTCTCGGTGCCGGTGCTTCGGGTGCCGCTGGCCTCGGTGCTGGCGCTGGTCTTGGAGGCAGTGCCACCGGTTCCCTCGGTGCCGGTGCCTCGGGTGCTGCTGGCCTTGGTGCTGGTGCCGGTCTTGGAGGAAGTGCTACCGGATCTCTCGGTGCCGGTGCTTCGGGTGCTGCTGGCCTCGGTGGCTCTGCCGGTCTTGGTGGTAGCGCTACCGGTTCTGCTGGCGCTGGTGCTTCCGGCGCTGCTGGTGCTGGTCTCGGTGCTGGTCTTTCCGGCTCTGGCTCTGCCGGTCTCTCTGGATCTGGATCTGCTGGTCTCGGTGCTGGCGCTGGTCTTGGTGCCAGCCCCAGTGGCAGTGTCGGTGCTAGCCCTAGTGCTAGTGCCGGTCTTGGTGCCGGTCTTTCTGGATCTGGCTCCGCTGGTCTCTCTGGATCCGGATCTGCTGGCCTCGGTGCTTCCGGCGATGCCTCGGGTGATGTGAGCGGCAGCGGATCCGGCTCTGCTTCTCTCGGTGCCGGAGCTTCTGGCAGCGGTGATGATGATACTGATGTCGGTGTTTCCCCCACGACTGCGGACGTCCCCAGCGCCACCACCACTTGGGTCAGTGCCTCCACCAGCGTCTCTTTCGGTCCTTACGGCGGCGCCAGCGGCAGCATCACGGCTGGAGGATCCACGGGTGGCGACGACAGCGACGATTCCGGTGCCGGAGCTGATGCGGATGCAGATGCGGATGCAGATGCGGATGCTAGCGCGGATGCCTCTGCCAGCGCGGATGCCGATGCCTCTGCCAGCGGTAGCGGAAGTGCTGATGCCAACGCTAGTGCTGGGGCCTCCGTTAGTGGTAGCGCTAAGGCCTCTGCTAGCGCTAATGCGAAGGCTTCTGCGTCCTTGAACTTCTCTGCTTAAGGTATGTATCACACTTCATCTTGAGGTTTTGGCCTGGCTGCTAACAAGTCAATAGGAGTTACGGCGTTGGTATCGATCGATCGCTCTAAACTGACACCACACTACCTCGAGCTTCCGGGAATCGATTGTTTCAAAATGGTTTAGGTATATCTTATGGGATGGGAATGGGTTCAATGCTGTCATTCGTTTCATGATCATATTGTCTAATTGTTTGCATCGTCCTTTTCGTGACGAGTACTACTTACACTGATATTGAGAGGATCCAGGCCAGTCTGTCATAGTCATAATCTGAATTCAAGCCTGTTGATAGATATTCTTGCTCCTTTTCCTAAAATTGTAGTTTTCAGTAGCATTACTGAGCATTTTATGAGTAGTAATGACCGTCTTACCTGGACACAACTGAGTCTAGATATTTTTGATTCATTCAGCCTTCACTGAAGAACATGATGGGGTCTCACAGAAACTACTTGTGCAAGAGACCGAGAAAAAAGTGGGTACAAAGAAAAGCGACAAGATAAACGGCTCTCTTCAGTCACTATAACGGGTAGCTGAGTGAGCCACAAAATAAAGAACAAAAAAGGATGACCTACGCAGGATTCGAACCTGCAATCTCTTGATCCGTAGTCAAGCGCCTTACCATTGGGCCAGCAGGCCAATTGTTGAAGATATGCTACAAGTAAATGTTATATAGACCATAATAAAGCGTTGGCAGTCGCTGTCGCCTCCATCGGCCACTCATAGGGGGGATTTTTCAGTGGGTATCGTGATGGTCTCTTACTGTCCAACCCCACGTGGTAAGCCCATAAGTATGCTTATACTTCTAGAATTACCGATCTAAAATCTGACCACTTCAATAAATAGTACATGATAATTCCTGGTAAAGAGCAACTCTACCCATCTAATAGCTGCTAGCATGAGGGCCATTTACCACGGAAACACGGTACCATCCCAGACCCGGGACTGGGCTCCCATGGACTCGCGCGTGGCACCATCAATAAGCTTGACAATGCCACCAGCACTCTTCAACTGTCTGAAAAGCCTTCTCCAGCCTGGCCTTGCGTGCGCTCGCATTCCCCATGTCTGTGTCTGGGAATCTGTTCACCACACGCATCGGACCGTCCGGTCTTCGGCTATCCGTCAAAATCAAGACAACAGGGACACTCACCCAGGATCAGCGAAGAAGGTAATGAAACCCTCATTCTCGAAATGAACCTTCCGGACTATCCAATGGAGAGTGGTCTTGCTCAGCCCGTAGGCGGTACACGGATAAGGACGTTGCTCCATCCCACCGATACTACCTAGAGGGCTACCAATGCTAACAAAAGTAGGACGGGCACTCCTGAGAAGCAGGGGATAAACCGCCTAGAAGAGATACAGAGGTCCGAAGCCGTTCACCTCGACGTGATCGCGGAAGACGTCAATAGGCACGTTGTCCACTCGGGAGAAGTCATCGCTCATGCCTGCGTTCGCGATGACAATGTTCAGATAATTGATGCCGTGCTCGTGCTGCAAAATGTAAATGGCAGCAGCGGGGTCCTCTGGGAATTTTGGAGTCAATTTTGACGATAATGAGGCGAGGACCGGGACCAGTGGGTAGGTTGGATAAGGACTTGCTTTGGGGGTTGCAGGGGTCGCGGACTGCGGCTACGAGAGTGACATTTGGTCGTGTTAAAAAGGCTGCTGATAAACCCCGTCCCATGCCTCGGCTGGCGCCGGTGATGAGGTAGGTGAGGTTGGACTCTGTCATACTGTCTCTGGCTTGTAGGGTTTTAGAATCCCGGGAGATAGGTGTGGAAATGAAGGGAAGGAGAACGCAAATCAATCAGGAAGAGGACGGTGTGACACACCCAGTATTTATCCTGGCCAGCTTATATATCTTGACATGATAAGATGGATTGACTGCATTTGTCATGAGGCTCCAGTTCAGGAGCGTCGCAGTACCGATCAGGCCCCAACAAACGTATCCATTAATTGCGATCCTTCTAAGTAGAGGGTGCAGTATAGATGCTGTGATGTGATTACCCGCTTGATACAACGGGGCGCCATACTGCTTGATTGGCTCGAAGATACTGCGATGATGTGATCGAGTGAGTTTGCATACGATGCTAGATCTGACTGGGAAACCTGCCCTATGCTAAACGCCTGATCATGTTGTCAATTCGTGCTTGAGTTCCTCATGACGCATGTTGATGTGTACTGCAGCCCCTGCTAATGGCATAGAATTTCGTATCCCTTTATATCTGTGATCTTCCTCAAGTATGAAGGTGTCTATGGTATGCTTACTGTTGTTGCGTGAAATTGTTTGACGCAGTGGGGGCTTCGTAGATGCGTGCGGGGACAGAGAGTAAGCTCTACTATGGCCTACGGTTGCAGCTACCCATTCATGATACTTAGCCTCCGCGAGAACCCCTGTCAGAACCCAGCGAGTATTCCCGGTTTGAACATCAGGTTAATTGCGCTGATGTTTTACAGTAAGCGAAAAGAAAATTAGTAATTCTAAATTACCTATTACCAATGGTGACAAATGCAGTGACAATGTTTTCTGGATGTAGACGACTATCCCCTCTTTTGGCGACTCGCCAGAAAGAATTATCTGCGTTGGTAAGGCACCTTACAATGGTTTTTCGAACATCTGTATCAGCTTGCCTATCTCCACATCTCCAGGAGGGAGAACCTGTACCCCAACGACACCGCAAAGTCCAGAAACACGGTAGATGAACTGTTTTAGCTACGTCAGTGGATCTACCATCTATTCGCGCAGGCTGGGAAAGTATACCCAGAATAGATTTAAGTTTCCGCTCCAAATTTGTGTTCCCTTGCGTCGCCCTGACGGCGTATTTTGAGTGGTCAGTATGCCGCAGATCCTCCAATCATATTCGCACTCGATGTCGCATTTACCGATGAATGTATTCCATGGATGGGTTTCGATGTAGTCATCTAGCGGATGCTTGCTTGAGTGGCTCAGATATGGACTAAGCAATTCTGCTGTGGTATGCCCACCCAACAGCTTTCTTGCCCCTGTATTGCTGCGAAGTAATTGTACCGTAATTCTTTTGGCAGAAACAACGCGTATCAGATACTTCCTGCGCTTTCTCTACTAAGCACTAGGCTATACAATTGCTTGAACCAAAGGCTTTACTTATATGCCTTGTGATACAATGTATCTTCAAGTCTGCGAGCCAAATAGGTGAGGTTATAGTCATGGTCTCTGCATTGGCTTGAGCTTGAAGATGTTAGGAATGCACAATGATAGATCTGGTCAGTCCCAGAAGTCGGCTCCCATAAGGGACTTAGTTATTAGATTAGTTAAGCCTTGTTATCTAGCCTTCCAAGCTTAGTCCGAATACATACGACCATAGGGTGTGGAAAACAGGGCTTCCCGTCCGCTCAGCCGTACTTAAGCCACACGCCGGGAGGTTAGTAGTTGGGTGGGTGACCACCAGCGAATCCCTTCTGTTGTATGTTTTTTGTCCTTTTCTCTTGTTTTATTTCCTAGACATGAAAGGGAAGACCAAAGTCTAGAATCCGACTCTTCGTGATGGCTGATTGTTTTGAAGGGTCCATATGCATACACAAGAGTATGGAAGGATCGACCGGAGCACGCTTGACAAGCAACTGATATTCATTTATTCGGCCAATTCCTTCTAATAGTTAGGCCAGATAGCTTCGATCATTAGTAGAGAAGAAATAAGTGTCGAGGCCATGATACTGAATCAGGACCTGGTTGATAGCGCCATCAGTAGCTTCATGGCCTCATATGCCGCAGTCCAACGCACACTCCTCAAGTACCGGGCGACTTCAACAGTAAGACCATGCGTACAGCACTTTCCCAAAGTGCGGCGAATATTCGCTGGGGATACGGACCCCATTAGCGAGACCATATGGTTCATCAACACCCTAGACTGTGTCTGAGGCATGTCTCTCTCAGGATGTCTACATATCTCATGGGCATCTGATATCTCGCCACCGAAGCAATGAAACGCCCAGCACGTCAGCGTCCCTATAACCAAGCACCACGGGTAGTGGAATACACCGTTTACATCCCAATTTCTCAAATTGAGAATCCCTTCACGCATCATCTGCGCCGCATGCCATGCTGCCTGCTCTGCGGCTGTCCCATTTGTGCTGACCCAATTCCTAATCCACTCCTCAGATATAAGGCGATCTTCTGGCATCACTATATGTCCAAAGATAGCCTTAGCCCCGGCAGCAGCTTGCAGGTGGCGGACTTCACAGTTGATTACAATATGTGCGGTATGATACAGTGCCAGAGTAGCAACACTCTCTTGCCTGTAATTGCTCCTGTCTCCCATGCTCTGAAATAGGCACATGGTGTAGGCGTCGTAGTGTGCTTTCCACGTCTCCAGGGCATGGGCCATCCTCCTTCGCCATGGTCTCCATTGCTCCCCGCCGTGGTCTATATCGCTTAGGCATATAGACTTGTTGTCGAAATGCGCAATATCATTACACATGGACATAATGCCATGAAGAACCAGCGTAAGTGATAAACTATCCATTGGCAAGCTTTGAAATTTATCTCCGTCTTGAATGAGGTCTTTGATCATGCTATTGAAGTATGCTGGCTCAATGTGAGATTTCCGGATATGTTTCCAGGCTGTCTCGCTGGGCGCTTCCCACAACTCCTGGGAACATGGAAGCGGGACTTGGATGTTGTGTGTGGACATGTTAGGCATCACAGAGTAGCAGGATACGTTTTGCGTGTCCCACATGAAGACGAAAAGAATTAGTCTGGGAGAAGATGGTTTAGGAAAAGAAGGGAAGAATAAAAAAAGGAAGAAGTCGCGCACTAGAAGAAAAGTAGCTTAGATTAGATACCTTTTATATTGCTCGGCGTAGGCAAAGCCCTTCCAGTCCAGGTCGGGTTGGACTAGATGACTAGGGAGCAGTATTCCCCCGCGAACATGGTATCGGGATACCCTCCGAATGGCCTAAGCTTACACATGAGCAAATGAGAGGTTTCAACAACTGGGTGCATACTCACACCAAACAGAAGGGTATGAATCAACATAGCGTTTTCGCGCTGATACGGGCCAGCTCGATACATGCCATAGCATTCAAGAATAAGAAAAGCCTGTAGCATCGATAGATCGGGCATCGGAACGCTCATCAGTCCGCTAAGGATATACGGCACCAGGGCATCGTATAGATACACGGACAGTTGATGGGTGTCTTTGTTCTTGTATGTCTGACCTAAAATGATTATGGAGAGTAGAAAGACAGGGTCTCCGCCTTCCATGTCAAGAGTCGCCAAATGGACCATCGGATAGGAGGAATTGAAAAAGCGGAAGAATAGACTGATATAGTCTTGCATATTGTCTATCGACAAGAGCGCTGTATTGCCATCGATGATGGTGCCTTCTGGTGTCACTGGACGTATTTCTGATAGAAGCCTGAGAATCTCGTCTCGTTTGGAAACGGAAAGGGCGATCCTGCCACCTGGGAGAGTGACAGCTTGGGCATCCCCATTCTCATCATTCTGGAGGAACACGTCGTGTATAAGGGGCTCGAGACACTGTTGTCGAGTGGTCAGCATCCACAGCACGTTATGCCCACATCGCCATAATGGTCAGCCTAGGGCGGCGGAAGAATATGCTTTCTAGACGTAGGTATATTCTTACCATCGGATCGTGTCGAAATGGGGTGATATTAGTGGTGTTCTGCACAATGCATGCCGACCGACTATCATGTCTTGGGATGGCCGTTTCTGGACCACTAGACAGGACTTCTGTACACTCCCGGCTAATCGGCCTGTCAGGGGTAGGGTGAAGATTCTGTACCTCCTGGTGGTGATTCTGTTCCTCTACTTCAATCTGAGGTAGAGTCTGACCGGTGGCTAGAGGCGAGAGGGCCAAGCCCATTACATCAAAGTGCACGGCATCAAAGGAAGTGTCGTAATACATATTAATTAGTTCATCCATGTTTAAAGAGTCAGTATTCGCAATGGGCGCTGCATGCAGTTGTGGCTGAGAACTCAGGGAATGGCGTCCGGACAGCTGTTGACCCGCAACTGCATTATCACCCGTGCCTCCATCTTGAATCTGGGCGTCGATTTGACAAGAGGAATCAGGTTGTGCCGGTGTCGTGAAGGGCTCGACCTTGTCTGTATCCTGCTCCAGGCCCGAAGGCCGAGGGGAGAGTGGAACCCTAGCCATTTGGGAACCAGATATAGTTTTTCGGCGGGTCTGGAGTATGCCTAGCCCTGCACCACCGGCCAGACCATCCTTGACCGTATGGCGCGCTTTGTGTCTTTCTATAAGAATAATTAAGATACGTCGCTAAATTAGACCGTTAATGCATACCCAGCAGGTCTAATCTCTTGAACGAGGCATGGCATCGACCACAGACCCAGCGGGTCTCTGAGTGGTTCAGCGAGTGTCGTTGGAGGTGAGACAACCGGGTGAAGGTCTTATTACACCCTGCCATGGAACAGCGATAATGCTTCTCTCGTGAGCAAGTAGCTTGTGGTTTCTTCCTGCCCAGAGTCATGCTTGCGTACTAATGCTCCCTTCGCTTGAGGTTTTGCGGTGTGGTTGCGATCAGAGAAAAGAGAACTATGATAAAATCGTCGATTGCAGAAAAATGGATGTTAGATAGTGGAGGTTGAGGTTATGCTTCACAGTTGGCTCTCTGGATGGAAGCAAATCGGCCCGTGCGCACGTCTTTTCTCCATACAAAGGTCAAGATTGGGGCTTGGTCGTTCTGCCTATGTGTTTTGGAACAATCAGA